AAGTCAATTCTTTTTTGAAGTGCTCGTGCCATCAGAAATGAGAAATTTTAAGGGCTTTCTTGTTTTGTTATTAGTACTGATGTACTGGTTCGCATTTTGGCAATTTAGTTTTTCCCAAATTTGCGCCGAAAAATAAGTTTTTTTTTATTAAAATTTGTTTTTGATGAGGAAAAAATCGAATTTTTTCAGGAAATTGAAAATGGGCAATTTAGCAGTTGGCGTTGGTACCGATGAAAATATTCCCAGACATACCAGACAGGTATATAAAACTTTATTTTTCGCTGCTTGCATGTAGCAGTTAGTTTCGTAACTGAAAAACTATGAAATGGCAAAATTTTGGTTAAGAAGCTTAATTCTTTGATGAGATTCTAATAAAATTGTGTGTCCTGAGTCGTTTTACTGTTCTGTCACATTGAGCAGCAGTTCAGGAAATATTGTTACTTATTGCGGAATGAACGTGGGAATAAAGGGCTTGGTAAAAGTAGAATAAAAGAGACTGGACTAAATGTCATGTGTAAGAAGACATTTCACGATGCAGTCTCTGTGTTTCATCCCTTAGCTATAAACACAAACTGAACTTTGTGTGCGGATAGGAGCGGGAATCATCAGTAAAAAGCCATGTATTGAACAGTCATTTGACGAATTTGCAAAACGGATATGCGAAAGAAGGGAAAAACAGACGGTTATGTGAAAGGAGGGGAAAAAAACAGAGGAAGTAAGAGAAGAAAGAAAGAAGAAAGAAAAGGAAGTTAACTGGTAGTACGGACAATCGTTGTTTATCAGTTATGCGTCAGCATTTTTTTAAGAGAACAGTATGTCTGCTAGGCTTTTAATTCTTGATTTATTAGAAAAAATGAATTTGCTAACTATAGATCGGTTCCTGAAGCAAAATCTGAGAACAGAATGTTTTATTTTGGCAATATCGAACCCTCTGTGTCTGGCGTGAAAAACTGGGGTGTCTTTCCAAAAGATTACCGGTGTTTTTCGGAGTAATTTTGCGGCCCAAATTTCGGAGTTGTTCGTTAATTTTTT